TCTCTCTTTTCCTCTCCTCCCACCCGACACAAACATGCAAAAACCAAGGACAGAATGTGCAAGCACAGAGCAAGAAAGTAGCTATCTGCAAGCCAGGAAGAAAGGCCTTACCAGGAACTGAATCAGCCAGCATCTTGATCTTAGATGCTCCAAAACTATGAGAAATAAGTTTCTATTTTCTAAGACTCCCAGTCTATGGTATTATGTTATGGCAGCCTTAGCTGACTACAACACGGAGTGTCTAAAGATGACCCCCCTAAGTTTGGTATGCTCTTCCATTGAACTATGAGGAAAGCCATAATGAACATAACATATTTCCTATTGCCTAAAAATTGTAATCCTCCTTAATCATGTTAGCCCTTCACCAAGGTCTCAGAAAGCCATTCAGCCATTTACAGTAGTGCTGTGCTACTCAAGTGGACAAAGAGCGAAGAAAAGCTTGCATACTATCACTGATACTGCCGTGATAATTACTAATCTGCTGTCTTTGCAGTAGTGGTAGTGCCTGAGAAACCTTGGGCATGTAATTTAATCTCGCTTTACTCAAGTGCCCTGTCTCTCAAATAGTACATTTCTAATGCCATTGTTGGAGAAAATAAATGAATTGCTACATAGAAGCATTTAGTGTCACATACTGAGTAAGTATACTCTAAGTTATTACAATGTTATAGTGCCTTTCCCAAATTCCTTATTTCTTTGCTTTTGAGTAACATTTCATTATAACCATATTGATAAGCTGAGATAGTCTCATCTGGGCTTCACTGACAGGAATATTCAACAAGGACTTTTTGGCAAACCATGGTTAAGAACAAAATAAATGTGATTTTAACCTTTAGCTCAAAATGCATCTCAAGATATTGAGGCCCTTGGTACTTCATTGGTATTTCAAACACTAATTAATCAATCAAAGATGTAGAGATGTAACTATCACAGTTCTTTTTAAAAAAAATATATGTTTACTGATTTCAGAAAGAAAGGGAGAGGGAGAGAGAGATGGAAACATCAATGAGGAATAGAGAATCACTGATTAGCTGCCTCCTGCACACCCCCTACTGGGGATTGAGCCCTCAACCCTGGAATGTGCCCTTAACCGGAATCAAACCCAGGACCCCCCAATCTGCATGCCTACACTCTATCCACTGAGCCAAACCAGGTAGGGCACTATTATAGTACTTTAGCAATATGGAAATTAATATGTTTTAGGTTCCTTGGAAGCAGGTCTAAGACATAGATTCACAAGGGATTTATTAGAAAAGGTATTCTAATAAACATTAAAAAGGGGAAGCAAGAAGGGAAAAGTAATTTAAAATGAGAGAATATATTAGTAGATATAAGTCAAATTTTGTACTTTAGGGTAAGTCAGCTTGCAATTGTGGTGAAGAACACAAATGTGAAATTTAGGCTACTTGGTCTTGCGTAGAACTTCCACCATTTACCTGCTGTATGACCTGGGATGGGCTACTCAATCCCTCTCTCCTTCATTTTTTTCCTCTATAAAATGATGCCCCCTTGCCTTGACTGGTTTGGCTCAGTTTGGATTAGTGGATAGAGCATCAGCCCGCGGACTGAGGGGTCCCGGGTTCGATTCCGGTCAAGGGCATGTACCTTGGTTGCGGGCACATCCCCAGAGGGAGGTGTGCAGGAGGCAGCTGATCGATGTTTCTCTCTCATTGATGTTTCTAACTCTCTATCCCTCTCCCTTCCTCTCTGTAAAAAATCAATAAAATATATTTTAAAAAATGATGCCACCTCATGAAAGTGTGGGGATTACTTGAGATTATATATTATATACTAGAAGCCTGTTGCAGGAGGATTCCTGCAAGAATAGGGCTGCACCGCCAAGCCCCGCCACTGGCCAAGGCTGCACAGGGCGGTCCCGAATGGGGGCAGGGCTTAGGCGGCCTGTTTGGCATACAGGGGCCCAGATGCAGGCTCATGCTGGCCCACCCTGCCTGCAGTATGCAAATTAGTCGCCATCTTTGTTGGTGGTTAATTTGCATATCTCATTGATTAGCCAATGAGAGGAATAGCGAAGGTACAGTCAATTTCAATCTTTGTCTATTATTAGATAGGATATATATATATATATCGCCTTGGCATAAAGCATGTGTCCTAATATGTTAGAGAGTGGTAGGAGTAGTAGCAGCAGCAGCAAGAACAGAAAAAGTCTTATAAATAGAAGAAATTCTAAGAATTATTAACATTATCCTTGCTGCTATATTAAAGGTAGTTATGCCTGCACCACATTCTCAACTGTAAGGTCTTGAAGATGAAGGTCCAAGTCTTATTCATTTCCACATGCAAGCATCTAAAATGATATTTACCCCAGTGTAGGTGATGAGTAATGGTTGTGGAATACAATTGACAGGACAGGTTTACTAGATATTTCCCAGGAGGTGGGAAAAAAAGAAATCAAAGCTGGTTCTGATATTTCAAATAGATAATGCAGCTGATGTCAACTAAATAGAAGTTACCAATGGCCTCTACTAAATCCAATTTTTTCTTCTCAATCATATTCCTTGCCCTACCAGTATCATTTTATCACTCTCTCCTCCTTGAAACACTTTCTTCACTTGGAGTTGAGAATACTATACTCTTGCTTTACTTCCTATATCACTCTGTTTTACTGGTTCTTCCTCTTCTATTAGAACTCTTTCATAATGCAGGCATACTTCAGGGGCTCAGTCTTCCATCATCCTTCTATATCTAGACTCTCTCTCTTAATGTGTCATTAGTCCCCATGTCATTAAACACCACCTGCATACTGATGACTCCTAATACATATGTCTCACCCACACCTCTGTCCCACTATCAAACACCTGCTTACTTAACACCTCCATTTGGAGGTCTTAAAAACATCAAGCTTGACATGCTCAAAACTGGATTCTAAACATAACATTACACAAAGCTTGCTCTACTACCAGCCTTCCTCATCTCAGGTAAAACTAAATAATTGTTTCAATTCATTGTGTCGCTGTTACGGAGTTATTGGTCTTCTCTTAAATCAGGAGAGGGGAATGTAGGACCCGTCTGACCTGCAGGTCTTATAAAGCCTGAGAATTTTATATGGCCCTCCAATGATGTCACAAATATCCAAATGGCCCTTGGCAGAAAAAGGTTACCCACCCTTGTAACACTTACATACTTACCACCAAAATCTCCCTTCATCTCTCTCTAAAATCAATAAAAACATACTTTCATTTTTTAAATTTCTTTATTGATGAAGGTATTACATATGGTGTCCTCATCTCCCATTACCTTCCCAACCTCCCCCAGAAT